TTACAGAGTTGGGCCTTTTTAGTTTTCTGCTCATTATGTGTAATAAGTACGTGTTGATACTTGGGTGACACTTTCCACAGTACAGAAAAAAACAGACATGCCACCTCTGCAGTTGTATAAAACAGGTCAGGTCACTGCAGAGTCACTGTTGTCACAAAGCAAGCTCGATTAGTGTCTCCATTGTCCTTATTACAGAAAATGTATGTGAGGCGAGGAGGGAAAATGAGTGGAAATGAATGGTGTCCTTATGTGCTATATATTTTCCATGTGAATTTTCCATGTTTCTGTGAATAAAGCAAAAAAATGAGGCAAAGGGGTTGAAATACTAATCAGAATTCCTTGTCAATTTCTTTTTCAATAGGACTCGTGCAATGGAAGCTGTTAACACTAATAGCTCAGAACCGTCGAATATAACCCTCATATTTGAAAAGTTTTTCATAGAGTTTTACAAAGATTATACGGCTCAACAAAAGCAGGCAGCGGCTTTGAAAAAAACACTCCAGGAAGAAGAATTCAAATTTGCTTATTTGTACATACTGGTGATGTTTGGTATCTTCACCTTTATTATCATAACAATGCTGGCCAGCACTGTGCGATCCAGAAGGCAAGAGCACACGGAAGACCCATACCACACCTACATAGTGAATGATGCAAGGAAATGGAGGGGACAAAAGGCTTTAAAATCAGACTTTAAGGAGTTCTATATCAATGAAACTGTAGTCAAGGCTCTGCAGAATCTGTCGGACCAAGATGAAACAGTAACAGTCCAAAAAAATTATGGCTAGCAACAAATGTTTCTTGATGAAGAAATAATCCTCTTAAAAAATAAATTGAAATATGAAACGTAGATAACATTATTTTTGTGCTGTCACTCCTTCTTAAGAGCAACTAAAATCTTACCATTTAACAAAATCTCTTATGGAGGAACTATAAGGATGGCCACCCTTCAGTTCCATAATAAACCATGCTACATTGGATTTGTTCTGGTGACTCATATCCCTCTCACATACTCTGCTTTTTATTTTTTTAAAAAGCAGACATCTGGAGACAGCCAAAGTTTAGGGTAGGATGTCCTGTTAATGAATAATGTGCTAATGTGCTAATAAAATGATTGATTCTGGGCATCTTACAAAAAATGACTACTCTTTTTAAAGATTTTAATGTGTCATCATCCCCAAATCTGAAGCTGCTGAAACTTTTGAATTTTTTCTGATTCTTATTACTCAGACAATCTAAGTGGTACATTAGCTGGTCTACTGTACACATCTAATACCTACGTCCACTGTTTAATACTGCACAATTGAAAGATTCTGTAACCAACAAATTCATCATTAGGCTGAAAGATCTTGTGATCAATACAATGCCCCTTTCTTTGTTCTGAATCTGCATCATCTTTCTCCATCTTCTGTTTAATGTCTGAATATTATACTGTTTAGAACAGTCTGTGGCGTAGTGGTGCTTGGGATAACGCTTGAAACATCAATTGACTAGACCTTTTGTGGGGTTATTGAAAATACCAAATTCGCTTTGTTTCTCAAAAGTATCCAATGCATTTTTGTCCTTGTTTCACTTACTTACAGTTCTTCTTTGATACTACTGATTACAACCTGTATGTAGATGGCTTTGACAGCCTGTATACGTTGTGTCCTTCAATCTCTGTTGCTTTGCTGATTTCTCCCACTATGTCAAAAATGCTACTGGAAAAGTAGTGCTTTTCAAGGAATTGTTTTAGTGCTCCTGACATTTGCTATAGCAGTGTGCATTTATCTGCATATTTAATCCCTGCCAAAATTACAAGTCTTTCCAAATTCGGCACAGTCTTACAATTTAAATGCCAGCACCAATGGAGGAATTTCCAAATTAAATTTCTGAAGTCTTGCATGTAGTCTACTGAATTCCATTATGTATTCTTTCATGGAGCTACCTTCCCTGTTTCTAAATTGGTCAAAATCTGACTATGCCTCATAAACAGTCGCTAGGTCATCTTTTTGATAAATGCTATCAATGAAAGTTGACAATTTGCCCAAAGCTTCATCAATAGTTAAACCATCAGACTCCAATTCTAAAAAAAAACTTTGCATCTTATCCTGCATCCATATGGGAGCAAAACTGCCAAGGCCATATCTATCTCCTTATTGGTAAAGAAGTAGCCCAGGTCCACATGGTTATTTCATTCTTCACTGGTCATATAGTTCGCATTCAGGAAGCAGGTAGAGTGGAGCTCTTGAGTCCAGCAGCAGTTATGGGGTTAAAATGATTATTGGATGCTAAAGTTTAAAAATGCAAATGCAGCAAAGCAACTTTATTGTGGTTGTGTGAGTCACCAGTTTGTTGCTGAAAACTGTATCGCAAACACATCTCCTGAGGATATCCTATGGATGATTGGTGTTTAGCACCCACTTAGATCCTGAAAGTCTGGTCTGGATAGACACTCAGTGCTGATGTTAGTGCTCCATCTGAAATCAACACATTCCATCAAGGTGAGATTTACCTGGCTGTCAAGCCGATCTTTATGTGAAAGTTCTTTCTCCTTCTGAGATAGGGGTAAGTGGAACAAAAACAGAAATGTTCTGCAAAGGCCCACTGGACTCGAAGTGTTAATTCTGCTTTCTCTGCACTGATGCTGCCAGACCTGCTGAGTTTCTCCAGCAATTTCTGTTTTTATCCCTGTATCCTTCTATAGGAAGAATATTATTAAATTGGAGAGGTTCAGAAAAAGAAATTACCAGATTGTTGACGGAATTGGAGGGTTTCAGTTATAAGAAGAAGCTGGGTAGACTGGGACTTTTTTTCAGTGGAGCACAGGAGGTTAAGGGGTGACCTTATTGAGGCTTATAAAATCATGAGGGGCATAGATAAGGTGAATAGCAAAGGTCTTTGCCTTAGGATGGGAGAGTTCAAAACTAGGAGGCATAATTTTAAGGTGAGAAGAGAAATATTTAAAAGGGACCTGAGTGACAACTTTTTCACATAACGGGTGGTTCGTATGGGGAATGAACTGCCAGAGGATGTGGTAGATGCAGGTACAGTTACAACATTTAAAAGACATTTGGACAGGTACATGAATAGGAAAGGTTTAGAGAGAAATGGGCCAACTACAGGCAAGTGGGACTAGTTTAGATTGGGAAACCTGGTCGGCATGGATCAGTTGGATTGAAGGGTTTGTTTCTGTGCTGTATGACTCTATGACTGTCCAGTCCTTTATATGTTTTAATGTGAACCCCTCTCAATTTTCTGAGCTCCAGTGGATAAAGGCCCAGTTAACCCAATGTTAATTCTAACTGCTTGCTGCATCTGCACCAAGATTTCTTTGTAAATCAACATTTCTCAAGCTCTCACCATTTAAATAATACTCTGCCATTCTGTTTTTCCTACCGAGGTTGATAACCTCACCCCTATCCAATTTATACTGCATCTGCTGTGCATTTGCTTACTGACTAAACTTATCTAAATCAACGTGAATCTTTTTCATCTCCTCCTCACCACTGACAGTTCCTCTAGTTTTGTGTTGTCATCAAAATTAGTAATATTACATTTCATGCCCTCATTCAATTCATTGATGCATGTTGTGAATATATAGGGCCCAAATATTGATCACTCTTGTATCCCATTACCAATGGTAATGCCCAATAGTGGATTCAGTGATTTGAATGTTATTGAATGGCGAGGGGAAATAGTTTGATTCTCTCTTGTTGGAGAGGGTCATTGCCTGGCACTTCTGTTTGAGAATGTGATTTAACACTTATCAACCCTAGCCTGAATGTTGTCCAGATCTTGCTATATTTGGATAGTACACAGACTGTTTCAGTCTGGGGAGGTGATAGCCTAGTGGTGATATCACTAGACTGTTCATCCAGAGCCCCTGGACTTGGCTTTAAACTTGGGTGGATTTTGATGGTAGAATTTGAATTCAATAAATATCTGGAATTAGGAGTCAAATGATAACCATGTAATCATTGTTGTCAGGGAAACATATCCATCAGGTTCACTAATGCCCTTTAGGGAAGGAATCTGTTGTCCTTACCTGGTCTGGCCTACAAGTGACTACAGACCCATGGCATTGTGGTTGACACTTAACTGCCCCCTGGGCAATTAGGGATGGGTAATAAATGCTGGCCTGGCCAATGATGGTAATTCATCAGGTGAATTAATAAAACAAATTATCAACACAGTCAAAAATGGTGCTGATCCTTTTGCAAACATTCTCTCTTCGAACCGCATGATCGATGGAAGATCATTGATGAAGGAGACTGGGCCTAGAGAATTACCCTGTGGAACTTCTGTAGAGATGTGAGGCCTCTTCTGGGGTACTGTGTACAGTTCCGGCTGCCCTGTTATAGGAAGGATATTATTAAGCTGGAGAGTGATCGGAAAAGATTTACCAGAATGTTGCTGGGAATAGAGGGTTTGAGTCATAAGAAGAGACTGGATAGACTGGGACATTTTTCACTGGAAGTAGGAGGTTGAGGGGTGACCTTATAGAAATTTATAAAATCATGAGGGGCACAGATAGAGTAAATGGCAGGTGTCTTTTCCCTAGGGTGGGGGATTTCAAGACTATAGGGTATATTTTTAAGGCGAGAGGAGAAAGATTTACAAAAGACAGGAGGGGCAATAAACTTCCAGAGGAAGTGGGGATGTGGGTACAGTTACAACAGTTAAAATATATTTAAGTAAGTACATGAATAAGCAACGTTTGGAGAGATTAGGGCCAAGCGCAGGGCAGGTGAGACTAGTTTCGTTTGGGATCATGGTTGGCATGGACTAGTTGGACTGAAGGGTCTGTTTCCATGCTGTATTACTCTGTGACTCTATATCCTGGGGCTGCTCTAACAGCTGCAACTTTGGGCCATCTATGACTCCAGCTAGTAAAAAGTTCCCTCATTGACTCCAGTTTGCTGGAGTTCTTAGATGACAGAATTGGGCAATGATGCCTTGATGTCAAAGGCTTTCATTCTTATCTCACCTCTTGAGTTCAGCTTTTCTGCGCATATTTGGACCCAGGCTCCAAGTAGTTTTAAACATGGAGGAATATGGATTCATCAGCTGAGTGCAGGTGGTAAGTAATAATAGGCCAGAGGATCCCTTGCCCATGTTTGATCTTATACCACGAGACTTCATGGTGTTCAGAGTTAATATTGAGGGCTCCTCAACTCCCTTCCAACTGTGTGCCCCTGTGCTGCTACCTCTAACGGATCTGTTCCACTGGTGGCGCAGCAGAAATCGAGAAATGGTGATGCTCTTTTTTGGGGCATTGTTTGGAAAGTACGATTTCGTGAATCTGATAATGTCAGGTAGTTGCTTGATTTGCCTGTGGCACTGTTTGCAAGATTTTTGTATGAACCCCCAAATATTAATAAAGCAAATTTCAACATTGTTTGTATCATTGTCATTACCTGTGCCTAAGCTGATGCTAGGTCATTTCTTATTAACTTTTCTGTTGTGATTTGATACGACTGAGTGGTTTACATGATCATTTTGGAGGGTAGTTAGGGCTTCGCCACATTGCTTTGGGCCTGCAGGCACATGTAGACCAGGCAAGTAAGGATGGCAAATTTTCTTCCCTAGAGGGCAGATAGGTTTGTATCACATTCAACAATAGTTGAATGGTCACTATTACTGTGACCAGCTTTCCATTCCAGATTTAATAATTGAATTGAAATTTTAACAACTGCCAAGATGGGATTTGAACTTGAGTCCCTCGATGATAACCTTGGGTGTTTAGATTGCTTATCTCGTGACATCACCACCTTTCCCTTTCGTACTGAAAACTGTTCAGTTGTTTTGAAGTAGATGACTCATCATCATCTTCTCAAGGGTGATTAAGATGTCCAATCAATGCTGACC